TTGGACATTATTTGTCCCTCGAAGTTTGCTAGTTTCCTCGAATGCTTCGCTCTCCGATGACCGCGGACAAATATCCGAGCATATGTTTTTGGCCAAATGTAGATCATTGCTTATTCACAGTATATTCAATACCCTAGCCGTAGATCTGTTCAATCTCAGCCACAAAACGAACAGAACAAATGATGGGAAGACTGATTTTAAAATTTTCAGGTCTTTTCCGGTAAAATATGACCGTAACGTTGGTACAAAGAGCATAAAAAGAGGATTATCAAGGGAATACATCTATAGACTAACCAAACACTGTAAAGTGTCATCTGTACAGTGTTAGGCCCGTGCCTACCCTAGTTACCTTGTAAAAGATTCTGTGCATGTTGTAGTGATTCGCATTCTTTAGCGCAGAGCTGGGGATGTAAACACAACTGGCGGAGACGCATTAAAATGACAAAACAGTGCGCGTACTTCGCTAGGACTGTTCCATCTTGAAGATATCTGAAATAAGAAATGCAGAGATGGCAAACGAAGCCCTGCTGTACTTATTTCATTAACAGTGTACAGCTGCACGTGCATTTTGTTTTAATGACCACAGCTGAACCGCTGGAAAGCGCACACCCGCAAGGAAATGGGAGGTGGATCATGATACAAACTCACCCCACTGATATCCATACATTTTCTTATGGTACTAACTACGAGAATTTGTTAAAGATCATAGAAATTTCTATTTGGTGATGATGTCCCTGATTCTCACTACCTTCTCTCTTGCTTTATGCATTGATACTGTCAGGGGAAATTTGTTGCTGGTCCAGTTTAAAGGGTTAATAGGGGTTTGTGTAAATTGAATATTTTTTAGATTAGGATAATTAGTTAGTGAACATACAATCACGTCAAGACAATCATAATAAACGTGCGTTTGAATGTCTTTAAACGCCGTCCAGTTCTATTTCAGACTCCTATCTGCCATCGTCTTTTCTAAAGGAAAGCCAAACTACATGTATGAAATTACCTTCGTATGATCAGTTGGCCATGGTTCTGCATGGCATCGTATAATTTCCGCTCCTTGTCAGACAACTCAACCTCTTGAATGACCACTGTACGAGGCGGCAGCTTTACAAGTGGTTTTCCCTCGTCCTGATCTGTCTTGAGTCTTCTGATTGAAATGTGCTTGAGAAGTTTTTGTAAACGACTGCAATCAAAGGTGTAGATCATTTCAATTCGTTTCAATTCTTTTACTTTGAAGGACAAGTCTCTCGAAAGTATTTTACTCAATTCACCAGAATGAAAGTCTGGATAATTGGTATTATACCAAAAATTAAATCTCGGCCTGAAACGGGCATCCAAAAAAAAATCAACGTCCAAATCGTAAGCGAGAGTGACGGCGTTTTGTTAGAAAAAATTATCATTGCAAGTGAGAAATTTAAAAGCACAGCTTTTAATATTTCTAAAGTTTTGTAAGTTTCGTTTCGTAAACGCTCTTCAAACCGAAGGAATTTTGAAACGCCGGCTTTTCGTTTTATATATCCAAAATGACCGGTGATATTTCTCCGGCGTAGTGTGGACGGAAAACATTTTGATACATTTTCAGAGTGAAAATGCCGTTTTCAAAATTCTGCGGTGGATGGGACCATGTACTATGTTACTCAAAATGGTATTCAGTAAGCGAGTAAAGCTTGTTTTCCTTATTTAGCACACTGATTTGCTGCGTTACAAAAGAAATAAATTATTGTCAATGCTCTTGGCTGCAGGTTCATCTCAATTGGGACACAGTTCACAACTTTGGCAAGCACAGTTTATGCCTATTAAAAAAGCTATTAAAACTAGCCACATGTCTCCTCTGGCTACTCACTGAAATTCAGACTGAAATTTAATGGGTCTACATGTGCGTTACAGTTAAGGGTTCGCGCATGTTGAAAAGTTTAGCCTAAATTTTTCAAGTACGTCGTTTGTAGTCCGTGTTAATCTTTTCCATCCTTAACCATCCTTCTTCCTTTATGGTTAATTATTATCTCTTTGGCGTTTTCTTTTTATGTCTTATATCTTAGTAAACTTTTATTTCCAGGTTTCCCTCAATTCAAATTGTGTACATGGCCAAAATAACTCAAACTAGACTAAGCTTCTATAAGTATTCTATGCTTAAAGTTAAGCAGCCTACTTGACGCCTTGTTCATCTCCTCTTCTCACACTTGAGGCCAGTGCAGAATTCCACCAGCCCTTGTCATCAAATGGTTCTATGCGAAGAAATTTGCACACGGACCACAGGTCATCCAGCCTGTTTTGTATTGGTGTCCCTGTCAGGACCCATCGACGCTCTGCTGCTAGATCAATCATAGCTTTGGTCAGACGAGTCTGTGGATTTCTTATAGTGTGACCCTCATCTAGGATAATGCGCAGCCATTTAATCTTGTGAAGTGGAGAGTCATTCTGCAATGTACAGTGATTAATGTAGTTTGTAATAATAATCATTAATGACTGACAATGCAATACAATACCAGGAGAACTTGATGAACACTTTATAAAACCATAGGCTCAAGTCATGATAAGCACGGGCAAATTCATTACTGTCCACGATCGTTTTCCTTCCAACATGTATCCCTGAAATTGTTATCAAAAACCCACTAAGCAATGGACACTTAAGTTGACTGAGCAATTTAACGTTCAGAGTTCCTAGGGAATTATTTTGACCAAGAGAGGACTAATAACGTACTAACTTGAGAAGAAAATTTTTGAGACTCAACAGTTAATTTCTTTGCATCTCCAAACACAACACTGGAAAAACAGAAAGAAAATCCCAAACTAACATCATCAGGCAGCAATCTCCGATAACTTGGCCATCTTGACTTGTGAAACCAACTTGAAATCAAATAACAGTCACCTATTTACATCATGTTTCTGATCAAATACATGTATAATTGACAAACCAAATTTTACAGTCAAGTAAATATAACTGCTTGAACAGGTTGTATAGGACATACAAGTCTGTAAACAACTTATCGCACGCTCACAAAGATCTCTACAGAGCGTTACCTGACAGACAACAGAACACCAGAGGACATAAATGTACAAAGTGCTACAATACAAACCCTGCTGTAGTCATTAGTCAGTGTAGGATATGTTGTCAGTACAATGTCCTGTTGTCTAAGAAATTTCACATCTCTCAATCGCTCTGCTCCATAATACATGTAAACTTGCAGACTGACATCTGGGTGAACATGGCTGCATATCTGGTCCTACAAAAAGCACAAAACAACAGCTGATCAACACAATGTTTTCACAGAGATTTTACATGTACATGTTAGAGAGAAGATAGAAGTCAATGATACAGAAGTGATTCCACTTGACATGAATTACTAGAAAAAAGGGAGATGCATGGTCAAGACACTGTTTAGCACTACACAGGAAATGGACAGCTCTTTGGGGACAAAAGAGGCAGGTTCTTTTGTTTCTACTCCCAGAAGCTAACTACAAGAGGTAGAGGAATACTGGGCATAAATACAGGGGTTTAGACATAGTGGGCTACCAAGAGGAGTAAAAAAATGGGCCTAGATTATTATACCATGTCACTAGAAGACAAGTATTAAAAGAGTCCAGGGAGATGGTGTTGGGGAAGGGTGTAAATAGAGGGGGATACAGCTGTACATGTAAATAGTCGGAGTGAAATATATTAAAGGGGCTTACTGCAAATAGAGTGGGGCTAAACACAAGAGAACTGAGCAGGGATCTAACTCAAAGGGCAAAGTACAGGGGGACTCAAATAAAGGGGGCTGGGGCAGTGCTTTCTATAACATTTGAAGAAAGTGGCTCTCCTGGAGCATAGCACCTGTCAGAGAGCAATAAGTGAAGCTCATAACAACTTTCTTCAAAGGACAAAGTTTCGTAAACTGGTAGGTAGCATTATCATTGTAGCTGGTGATCCACAACAGAATACTGGCTGGACCTCTAGAAGGTTCCAGGTCTTACTGAAAGCACAGGAGCAGTAAGTGTTATGCATTCTTCTGGGTCAAGTAGATTTTCCTACCAGGCAATGAACTTTTCATTCTCATTTGCCTGATGGGTGAGGACCCAGGCAAGTTGCCTCCCAACTAAATAACAAAAAAGTAAACTAAGACTTGCCCAGGGCAAGAAAAAGTTCGGAGCTGCTTGTCCAATAGCACAGTTGAATTCAAGTTTTTTTTTAGTGCTGAGGAGTGAGGGTAGAGTTTAAAAAAGGAATAAATGAGGGGACTTAACATTGAGTTTATTTTCAACACTTACTGTCCAGTTACTAAGCACAGACAGTGGGCACACAATCAATGTAGCACCGTGCTCGTCATCTGATTGAGATTTGTTGCTGTTAGTTCCATTTGCACTAACACTGCGTTTGCCAGCAGACAGCCATGGTGTAGCCATGTCAACGTTATCATCAGTATCAATGCTAATTGGCGATGGTGATTTTTTAGGTTTGGGAACTTCTTTCTCCTCTTTGAATTTCTCCTTTTTTATTGCTTTGCTGTAAACAAAAAGAATCATCATCAGAGCAAGAATACAACACACTGATCAGTACAAAAACACATTTAAAAAAAAAAAAAAACATTAGAGAGACTTATTGGGAGATCATGAAAAAAATAAATCTACCCATACAGTACCTGGAGAACTTGGAGAGATACATTTGCCTGAATCTAAAACCTGGCTGTTTTAAAGCTTTACTGTCTGCCAACCTAAAATGTTACAAAACAGTTCAACATTGTTGAAACACATAGTAGGTATGCAAAAACACTTACAGATATCAAACCTTTCTGGCGGGGTAGGCAAGAGCAAGACCCCAACCCATTCACCCACTCAACTTCCTGCTCAGCAGATCACTATAGTAATAAAAAAGTAGCAACCCTCAAAAAAAGTGAAAAATTTCATGGTTGTTAATTGATCAACAAATTTCAAAGAAGCGACACTTTGGAAGTAAATGATCATCGAAAAGAAGCAGCCTCATACAAAACTTCACAAGAAAATACCAATGGAAACAATGGATATAACAACTAAAAAACACAGATACAACAAACTGAACCAAACTGTTCTGAATTTTGTTTTAAATCATAATGATCCTTACTACAACTTAGGCAAGACTCTGTTTGGTGTAACAGAAATTCATTTCAACAACAGTAAACCCTTTCTTTTTTCTACATGTTCAGAACATTTTTATTGTTTTTTTTTTTTTTTTTTTTTT